TCTCTCTCTCTCTCTCTCTCTCTCTCTCCCTCCCTCTCTGTCTCTACACCTCTCTACTTTTTTTTTTTTTTATCTCACTCTGTCTCTGCCTTTGACTCTTTTTTCTTTTTCAGTATGTGTTTTGGAGAGAATGTTAGAAAAATATTTTCACATTATACAGAGTTGAGCTATCCAAAGGACAAAATATTGGATGAATGCTTCAAAAATTGAACCCAGGATATTTCCAAGATTATCTCTCCAGTGGTCTGACTTATTGGCAAATTCTTACCACAGAACAAAAACAACCAATATTGGTCATGACAAAATATGAGTTTTAGAACTCTTGATACAGAACTTTTAGAACTCTTAATAATACAAAATTGTTGTTAGAACTGTAGAACTTGATACAGGCTTTTAATACAAAATTGTTAGAACTCTTAATGCAAATTTATTAGAACTATTCATACAGACTGTTAGAACTTTCAATAAAGAACTATTAGAACTTTTGATACTGGAGTGTAAGAACAAAGAACTGTAAGAACTTTTGATACAGAACTGTTAGAATGTTAGTACTCTTGATTTAGAAGGATTAGAACTTGATACAAAACTGTTAGAATGTTAGAACTCTTTGCTTTACAACAATTAGAACTTGATACAAAACTGTTAGAATGTTAGAACTCTTTGCTTTACAACAATTAGAACTTGATACAAAACTGTTAGAATGTTAAAACTCTTTGCTTTACAACAATCAGAACCTGATACAAACCTGTTACTGTTAGTGCTCTTGACGCAGAGCAATTAGAACTTTTGTAACAGAGCTATTAGAAACTGGAGTTAGTTATTTTTGTTTCTCCTTCAGGCTATTGGGAAATGGGCGTCAAACCTGGACCCTGAGGCACTGCTGACCACAGCAGCATCACTGGTTGACCGGGCTTTGTCTTGTGGCTTCACAGGAATGGTTATGCTGCATGGATTGATGGAGGTAACATGGTGGAACTGAATTAGTGACTTGGTGACTTGGTTAGAGGATATGTATCATCGCAGGATACTAGGTTGGAGGATAGGTATCATTGCAGGTTACTTGGTTGGAGGATAGGTATTATCGCAGGTTACTAAGTAGAAGAATAGGTATCATTGCAGGTTACTTGGTTGGAGGATAGGTATCATCGCAGGTTACTAAGTGGAAGAATAGGTATCATCGCAGGTTGCTTGGTTGGAGGATAGGTATCATCGCAGGTTACTAGGTTGGAGAATAGGTATCATTGCAGGTTAATTGGTTGGAGGATAGGTATCATCGCAGGTTACTAAGTGGAAGAATAGGTATCATTGCAGGTTGCTTGGTTGGAGGATAGGTATCATCGCAGGTTGCTTGGTTGGAGGATAGGTATCATCGCAGGTTGCTTTGTTGGAGGATAGGTATCATCGCAGGTTACTAGGTGGAAGAATAGATAGCATCGCAGGTTACTTGGTTGGAGGATAGGTATCATCGCAGGTTACTTGGTTTGAGAATAGGTATCATTGCAGGTTACTAGGTTGGAGAATAGGTATCATTGCAGGTTACTTGGTTGGAGGATAGGTATTATCGCAGGTTACTAAGTGGAAGAATAGGTATCATTGCAGGTTACTTGGTTGGAGGATAGGTATCATCGCAGGTTACTAAGTGGAAGAATAG